AACAGCCTCCTGCAAGAGCCTGGCTCCAGAGTCTGCTCTGCACTGTGGACTTGTAATAAATATTTATCTCACTGGGAACAGAGTCTTCAGAGCCCAAGCTCCTGACATCAGTACTAGCTCCACATATTTCCATTTGAGGTAGGAGGTCAGTAGAAAGTTCTCAGCTGTTGGAGGAGGAATACAGCCCCCAGAAGCAGTTCTGCAACTCTCCTTGCACCACACTGGCCAGGATCCATCTCCCCACCCACAGGAGCCCTGCTGCTCCCAGCTCAGCATCCCACCTCCCCATTGCCCTCAAGAGCAAAACCAGACCCGGGACACATCAAGATCCCCAACCACTGTGCAATCAGCTTGTTTTGCTGCATGTCCAAGGCAGGCACTTTCCCAGTGCAGTCATTAATGCACACCAACAGCTCTTTTTATTGCTACAGTTTGACTGTAACTGCAGCCAAAGGGCAGGAGGCAGGGTCAGCCTCCCAGCAAGGTAAACAGGGCAGGGCCACAGCACTTTGTCTTTGGGGTTTTACAGCAGACAGGCAGCACAGTTCTGCTTACACTGCTAAGGAAACGTCTTCCTCTCAGCAGCCAGAACTGGGCAACATCAGAAGGCAGAAATCCTTCCCAAGACTGAATTTGTTTGACCAAAAGAACACAATCTGTTTAAGCAAGAAACCTGGGTTTTGCTACATGACACAGGCTGCTTGGGTAACACACTACGTGCCTAGCAGTCTCCTTCCCACCCCAAGGAGTGTCTCGCTGACATTTTAATTAACAGCTTTGATTTTTCAGTTATCCCAATGATTTGTCTAACAAGAACCATTCAGTGCTTCGTAAGCAGAATCTCAGCCTCGAAAGACTCACAGATACAATCAACACGAGCACATATTTCTAGCAAAAACAAGGCTTTTACAATAAGGGTATTTCTGAAGTCAGACAGCCTTTGGAAATCAAGAGTAACGTAGCTATGTCTTATGTGCCTTCCCCTCCTACGCTGACATTTTCTCTAGATTCGGAATTCAGTACTCAGCCTCCTCTTTACGACTTCCCACTCCTCTGCCTTGCTACAAACACTTTCGGTCACTTCAGATATCACCGCCCTCCTCTCCCCATCCAGCTGTATCTGTCTGAAAAGGCAGCACCCATGGAGCTGCCAGAGCAAGTTAGTGGCTGCTTGAGACAACACTGATTTCTCAGAAGCCTTCGCCAACACTAACTCAGCTTGTGGCAGCAGTAACGTGGCAGAGAGCAACAAACTGAGACAGATGAGACAGGAGGCAGCAGTCAGACAGCACAGCCTGGCTGCTCAGCAGCACCAGCTCTGTATTTACCCCTCTCCTTCCCCCATAAGGGACCCAGCACTGTGCCCCAGTGCCAAGCAAGTCTGAGTCACTGCATTGGGGCCAGGGCAGAGCCGTTACTCACACAGTGACAGCAGTCTCAGGGAGCTGAGTGCCAGAAACCCTGAGTCACACGCTGCTGCTGTGGGGCTGACGGCACACAGCAGAGCTGGACCAAGGTACCAGCACTTACCGGACATCTGAGTGCACGATTAGAGAAAAAACAAAAATAGAAATCCAAACTAATCCAGAAATGCAGCCCTAACAGATCATCACCATGGGATCCTCCACAGCCCCTCCGTGCAGTAGCACCAACTCCTTCCAGGCTGCTGTGTCTATTCAGAGCCACCAAGCCCAGTCTCATCACAACAGCCTCATTCTAGTGCAGATCATTTGAATCCTTAATCTGAAGTGTTTGCATTCCACACATCTCAACGAACAGCCACACACTCTCCACAACAGCAGCCCAGAGGTCAGATGTGCTGGATCTGTCCAGTTTTAGTGCTTCAGCTGCATTAGCTCCACACCTGAGGCTACAGAAGCAGCAGGACCCCTCTGTCATCATAGGGCATTGAGGAACAAGCTGTACTGAGCTGTGGCGAGAATCCAGCTGCAAGGATTTAAGAGCAATCTGGAGAGGATAAACCTTAACTTGAGAGCAAAGAAGTGCTTCAAAGGATGGATGCTCCATTTTTATCTAGCCAAAGTATTAGCTGGGGAGTCCTGAGCCATCAGCCAGCCAGCACACTTCCAGAGCATTTCCCAGCAGTGGGACTCAGAAGGGAAGAATTCTGCTGAAGTCTGCACTCTGAGCAGCCTCCAGCCTCATGGAAGTGGGACAAGTGCATCAGGAAAGTGATGGGCCACTCCAAGCACACCAGGGCAGGGTGAGAACAGGGAATAGTCTCCTGACCCCAAACATTCTGGCATAGAAAGCAACAGCAAAGGCTCAGAAAAGAGGGAAGAGGTGAAGATGCATAGGAAAAAACATTTCCACAACTGTTGGACTGGATACAGACCTCAGCAGGACCTTGAAATGCCAAGGTCTTGGGAGACAGCAGCAGGAGGGGCAGGAAAACAAGCAGTCACATTGTCCAGCTGCCTTAACTTCTGAGAGCCAACAAGCCTCAAAGTTCAGCCCCCAGTCTTCATCCCACCAGCCATTCCCAACAAGGTACAAGGCACTGGAGAGCATACCATCTTCCACACCTTCCCAGCATTCATCATGACAATCAGCTCTAGGCTTGGCCACCAAAAGCCACAGGCTCCTTCCCTTCAGGAGCCAGGAGCATCGCCTCCCAATTCCAACCCTACCACTGCATTTTAGGTAGGCCAAGGCAAAAGCCAGGATTTGCTGTAGATGTTCAGCTGCCCCACAGGCTTGCCAAGTCATTAAGTAAAATAAAATAAAACACACAGATAGCTGTGTCTTGATTTGATTGGGAGGGACAGATGAGAAACTGGGCAAAGAGCAGAAAGAACAGGCCTGGGGGATCAATGGCAGCAGGACAAGCCAAACCGGTTTTAACATTAATAATGCTGTACTACTTTCCAAACATGGCTATCATCAACAAGACACCGGCTTTGCCAATCAGAAGTCCTCCGAGCATGATTGCCTTGAACCAGAAATGGAGCCCACAGCCAGCACGAGGCCTCCCCCTCTCCCTGCACCCTCCTCAGCCAGCAGCTTTCAGGATGGATTTCTGCTCGGCTGCACTGCTGGGGATGCACGAACACAATGCAGCACTGCGTGGAAACTTTCTGCTTTCTTTGAGGCAGCAAAGCAGGATGGCTGCAGCTTGCAGACCATTCGCACTGCTGAGCTCACAGCAGAAGCAGTCTTCTTCAGTAGCATTAACAACAGGAGCAGCTCAAGCCTGCAGCAAAGACACCACTGCTGGGAATGCTCATGTCTCCCCCCATGCTGCCAGGGGCCAGCTAGATGCCAGAAGTTCAGGCAGAGTCTGCAATGCTGCCCTGCTCCTCCTTAGCTCCACTCATCCCATACACTAGCCGCACTGCTGGCTTCCCACCCTTCTCCCCAAAGCCCCTCGGACACCCAGCACAGCCCTCCCTACAGCCTTTATTCCCTGGAGCACTTGCTCAGGGAGGGCTGAGGAGCACAGATCCAGCTGGAAAGCCCCCACCCCCAACAGGGAACAAGGTGATGTCCTCACACCAAGCTGCAGTAAGGCAGCCACCCACCACCCCGGCACCAACGTCACACTCAGGCACTTTGCTCACAGTCCCCACCCTTTTACACATCCAGGATTGCTTCACACCGACAAATCCCATCCATGCCAACAACCCGTGCGAGGGGAAAGGAGCCAAAGCGTTTCTGTTTGCACAGGCTCAGGGAAACGTTCAGGCACCAAATCACTCTCAGAAGCCATACTCTTACGTAAGCACAAGAAATACAATCCCTGTCTTGTGAAGAAACAGCTACCTGCCTTCACCCTGCCGCACGCTGTGCAGCCCTGCACGTTTTGGCAAGGCTATAAAAACGAAGAGGAGGAGCAGCAGCAGCAGCGCTCTCGCAAACTTTGTCATCCTGTCTCCTCCCTGGCAGCCTGAAACCTAAACTTGTTTGTTTGCACAGGACTCTAGAGTAGGTCAGTATTACTGCTGGAGCGCACAGCCTGCCTGATACAGCCAAGAAGACACTGACAAACATTCCATATGGCTCTGCAAGAGGACCTACAGAATCCATCTGCTCAAAATTTGTTGTCTTTGCAGAAATTCGATGCTCACAGTCCACTCCATTCTCCAGAGACATCAAGTTGCATTTCATACCAAACATGGTCAATGCAGCTTCCAGATGCTGTCTGCCCCAGAAGTTTGCCCTACTGGTTTGGGCCAGCTCTTGAAGGCACAATTCACGTGCTTAATAGCAGGGATAAAAGCACCAGATTAGAGCAAAGTGGATTGGAGTTGGTTGGCCTTAGCAGAGAGCAGCTGACAATCACTGCTGACGTCCTGTGTGATGTTCCCACTTCACAACCAGCAGCCCCCCAGCCTGCCCTTACTGGAAAGAAGTGCCCAGCGCTTATCTGCACACCCAGATCCTCACAGAGCAGAGCGACATGGATAATCAAACCTAGTTTTGAGATCCTTACATCTCCTGCAATAATTATATTAACACCAGCAACTCCTTCAAATGGACACAGAGATCCTGTGCTATCGGGAAGCAGGGCACAAATACAAACAGGGAAGGCAGACCCCCAAGACCTCTGCTTCACAGGAAGACCACAGGTACCAGCTTAAAGCATTACACCTTCTTTATTTTACTTTCTTATGATATGCTTAGAGAAGTCTTAAATTATTCATGTATTCCCTTAGAAAAGCAAGGTTGGTCCGAGAGCCACGAGGACAGCAGGAAGCAACACAGGCACGTCCCAGTACGACAGGAACACGCACCCAGATGCGGCAACGCACTGCTCACCAGAGCTATCATAAAGCGGCAATAAAAGAGGGATTAAAGGCCAATAAGTCCATAAGCAGCAGTTGGAGATCAAAGCCGGAACGGAGAGCGGTTCGTTTCTACGACGCACCCGCACACCCCGCGCTCATTCCGCCGGAGCCGATAGGAGAAGGCAGAAGTGGCAAGTAGGGAGGAGGAGGAGCGGCACACAGCCACGGGGCTGCGGGGTAAGCGGCACTCACCGACTCGGCGGCAGCGGCAGCAGCGGCCAGCAGGAGGCCGAGCAGGAAGGGCAGGAAGGTGGCGCGGAGCAGCGGCATGGCGAGGCGGTGTGGGGCGCTGACTCGGAACGGAACCCAACGACCAACGCAGACGGCGACGGCTCTGCCCGCTCTCCGCCGCAGCGCCGCTTATAACCGCGGTGCCGCCCGAGGAGGCGGAGCGAACAACACCGCATCGCCCCGCCCCGCCCCGCCGGGAATGCCCGCAGACCGCGGCGAAAGAGGAAGGGGGGAAGCGAAGCGTCGTGTGCTGCGTGTCCCATCCCGGCTGGAACAGACAGCGGCTGATGGGGAGAGGAGGAGGGAAGAGGACGGGGGTGTGTGCGGAGAAAAGAGAAAAGAGGAGAGGAAGGAGGGGAGGGGAGGGGAGGGGAGAGGAGGGGGGCTAGGAGAGGTGGGAGAAACGGAAAGAGGGAAAGCGAATGCGCCGGTTTGGTTTTCGCAGCATTCCAAAAGCGAGAGTGTTGTGCTCGCAGGTAGCGGAGGGGTTTTCTGTCCGCCTCTCGCTGCGTCGTCGCCGCGGTTGTGAAGCGGTGCGTTGCGTCACGCGGTTCTGCTTGGAGGTGGAAAATGAAACTCTTTTCTGTGCAAGAGGGAAGCGTCAAAAAAAAAACCAACCACGCGGCCAATAAAAAACAACACCCATCTCCAGCACGGTTTAACTATCTCAGATGGTTTGTGTGTGTGTTTTCTTTTTCCTTCTTTGCCATTTATTACTTTGCCCCGCGCTGAGTGTTTGCTTGTGTCTGTTGGCAGCATCCACTTCTGCCCTTGCACGGCCCGGGGTTCACCTGAACAACCACACGGGGTGCCCCTTGTCCCCGTGCCTTGCTCTCTCAATCGCATTGCACTGCATTTGAGCTTTACCTTACTGAGAATAACATACATTCTGACTGGGGAATCAACACCCAGCTGACAGAGCAATGTGTGCCATGATCCCATCAGCCTGTTGTGGATGCAAACCCTGTTAGATTTGGTTCTCAGCTCACTCCAACACTACCAAGCTAACCCATGAGACCATGTAGCTGCCCCCTGTCCCACATTTACATGCTAACAAGCCCACTAACAAAGCAGTCTCACAGGTGAAGCAGCCTTTCCAACTGCCTTTGGGGAGAAATAGGTACAAAGGGAGCGAGCGGAGGCCAAGAGGTCTCATCAGTTTGTGTTAGCACTGCGCCTGCAGCTGGGGCTTTGCTGGCAGGAGACTCTCCTCATCGCTTCATCAGCAGTTGGCATCATATGAACTGACAAGGAGTGCTGCTCTGAGCTTGATTAAATAAAATCTGAAGAGAGCACTCCTCTAGGTAAGGGTAGGAAGCAGGCTGGAGGTGATGGTGGAGTTTTCTTGAGTACCAGCCCCTCTGTGCCCAGCAATTTCTCACTAAACCTCTTGTTCTCCTCAGCCCCCAGTGCCACCAAGGCTATGAGGAAGGGCTACTTGCCACGAGCTGGATTGCTGCCCTTCTTCGTCACACACGGGAGCTCATGGAAGAGCAGGCAGGGGGCCTGGCTGCAGTCGGCCTCCAGTTCTGGGCGCCTGCACAGCCAGGTAGCAGGAGGTGGAGGGGAACAGGAGCATGCTGCATGGGTTGATATGCATGACAACATCTGCTAGACAGGAGACAGCCTCAGCAGCACAGTGCGGACAGAAGCAGTGCCACTCTCCCTAACCCTCTGTGAGACTCCTACACTTGTGTGCATGTGGCCACGGCCCTGCTAACCCCTCTTTCCAGGTAAGGCAGTAACCACAAAGGTGCTTTCAAAACCAGTTGTCTGTGTTGTGGCTACAAACACTGCTGACTTTCCTGTTAATTTCCTCTAGATACAAGCACCACAGGCCGTACCTTCCTGGTTATTACATATCTCGACACTGCTACAAAATCTCTCTGTGTGGCACGAAACATCATTTTCCCTCCAAAGGAAATTCTGATCACGTTGATCTCTGCTTCAACAGAATGGGCTGGGCAGTGTCCATCGCAGCCACACCTGGGTGCATAATCCTGCAAACAAAGCGACAGGAATCTTGGGCTTCTGGAAACAGAAGGGAAAATTAAACTCAATTAGAATGGACTTTCCAGCCTTGATACAAATTTACATAACTCTACCAATGACATTTTCACAGTGTGTCTTATCGATGCACCCTTCTACCACACGCACACAAAGTTTCTGCCGCAGTATCTCAAAAGCAATCATCAGAGAGGAAATGCAGCCACTGAAATCATAATGTGGTTCTTTAAAACCATGACATATCACACTCGGCTTCGTTTCGCCCTTCAAATGTCTCCTCTGAAAAGAATGACATTCTCCTCTCTGAACAACACGGAAAAATTGTGGGTATGAGACATTCAGGGAGAGTGACAGGACAAATGGACCCAGGCAGAAAAACACACAGCTGAGATGCACTTTCTTGAAACCTCACTGAAAGTGAGGGAAGCAGAAGGAAAAGAAAGAAAAAACACACACTGAGCCTCACATTTCGGGGCAGCGAATGTTCAGAGTCAAGGTGTATCAGTTCCCTTTTACAATCAAAATTACAGTTGGCAGAGAAATAACATAGGCTGGCCACGATTGTTCCTAACCCACTTTTCCATCCCCAGCTCTACCCTGGAAATAAAAACACCTGCCGAGTCCCAGCATGTGATACAAACACACGGGATGTAGCACACAGTGTCCAGCTATAATTCATTTGGAGGGTGAGGGAAATCATAGTTTTATACAAGTAAAGATATGTCTGATCCTGAGAAGGCCAGATGCTGAGCCTTCTTCAATAATGCTAGATCACAAATTCTACTGCATTTCCTCAGAAAAGAGATTTTTTAGCCAAGCTCAGCACACTTCCTACAGGTGGATTTTAAAATGGGCCTAGCACTGGATTCTCTAGCACTGAGAAAAATTAGGGAGAGTTTTTAAACACTCCTACCTGCCTGGGAAAGGACAGGTGAACAGAGATCAGTTCAGATGCCCTTTGTACTTCAGTTGGTAAAAGACGTATGGCCTAAACAAACAGCTTCCTGTTCTAGGAAATGATTCCTGAGTAGGAAGAATGCCATACCCTATACACCCATTCCTCATGGAAAGAATCACCGGATAAATAAGATATTCTTGTTCCATACTGCTGATAAAGAAGTTACATGTGATCTGGGCACTTTCTGTAGGTACGTGCTGTGTCCTGGGCATGTTGCCATTTCTTCTTTCACCTGTGGGTGACATGCAGGTGTCACACACAAAGCTGTCTGCTCTTTAGAAAAGGACATTTAATCAGAAGCCAGGCAAGAAACATGTACAGCAGTGATCTCTGTGTTTCAACATCCTTTTCTCTTCTAACACATCTTCCCTCAGCAGCTGCCTCCAACTTTCATTTCAACTAAGAAGAAGAAAAGGGAAATAGAAAATGCACTTGTTTTCCCTCAAACAATTCCCTTTCAGGTCCATTTTAACCCTTCCTACTGAGAGGGATGTGAGGCAAAGCTCCCCTTGGAGAGAATGTCCTCTGCTTCAGGAGGAGGACACGGTCCTGTGGCCAGGAGGACGAGCTGGGCACAGGGAGTGCAGTCAGACAAACACAGCCATGCAGCGTGCTATTGCCAAGCCAGCCAGGAAATGCCTTCATGTTCATGAGATGGTGCAGCTGGGGTGCAGCTGAGCCCCAGGACTGAGCACAAACCTTTGTGCCACGGCGCTTCACTGCCTCTGTTACGTTCCCTGTCCCAGAGGCAGTCTGTACCCATGTCTGACATCACGGCTACTTTCAGCTATGGGGCAGCGACCAAGCAGGGAGGAGACTCGAATTTTGGAGGGAATTCAGGTCAGTACCTCCTGAAACATCATCTACTATCTTGTGATTGTAGGGAAGACTGTGTAAAGCAGAAATTCTGTTGCTGATAACTGTGGTGTGGAAAGATACCCAGAAATTATATCATCAGCCTTGCCAGGAGTTCTGTGACATGAGCTTGGGGTTTTGGTTAGCGATTACTAAACAACTCTCATTTTTGCTGGCAGAGGAAATTTAGTCCTACAGAGCTTCAAAAAGAAATAAGGAAGTGGAAATTAGCAGAAAGTGATGGCTTGCACGTCTCAGAGAGGCAAGCATGGCAGATTTCAGGAAAGGAAACCAATTTCTACTAAGAGTTAACAGAGGAAGTGCCGATCTCACAATTCATGCTCAGCAATGTGCTGCCAGCAGGCAGCCCGAGAGGTCTGGGATTTTCCCATGCTCACTTCTGCACTCATGGAGCTGGTAAGCCGTGGCACAGCCCGCTTCTCCACAGGCCTGAAGCCAAAGCTCGGCGGGCACAGCCCACAGCTTTGTGCAATCCTGTCGGGAGCATCAGGTCTGGGAATAGGGAGGGAGCCGAGCCCAGCACACATCAGCACGGTGACACCCGCAGCACGAGGGAGGAGAACCACGCAGCAAGGCAGCGCGCGGAACTTCGTACTGGGAAACGGAACAAAACGTCACGAGAGAAGAGCGGAGATTCGCGTCTGAGTTCCCAGAGCCAGAAATGTTCCACACCCACAGGGCCGTGGGCTCTTCTCCACCTCACAGAGGGCTGCGGGCACCGCTGGGCCGCGCTGCCCGCGCCGGCGGAGCTCAGCCTGGAGCCGGAAGGCATTGAGGATCGGACGGGCTCGCAGCGCGGGCACCGCACAGCGCGGGGTCCTCCGGCCCGCGAGGGGGCGCCGTGCCGCGCCGCCACCGCCATCGAGGCCGCTTCCGTCGCGCCGGGCGGGCGGGCGATGGCGGCGCAGTTCCGCAGCTACGTGTGGGACCCGGCGCTGATCGTGGCGCAGATGGTGCTGCTGCAGGCCGCCTACTACAGCTCGCTCGGGCTCTGGCTCGCTCTCCTCGGCGCCTTCGGCAGCACCGGGCCTTCCCTCCATCAGATCTTCAGCGATGAGGTAAGGGTGCGGGCGGTGGGCCCTGCGGGGCTCCAGGCCGTGTCCGTGTGTCCGTGTGTCCGTCTGCGCTTCCCGCCGCGCGGCAGCCCTGAGGCAGGCCGGCCCGTGCTCTGTGCCGGTGTCCCGGCTGGCAGCTGGCTGTATGGGAAGAGCCCTGTTTGAAGGCAGCCCCTCCGCTCCCCGCTCGTTGCAG